ATATATATATGTATCGGCTACTAAATGAAATTATATACGAGGTTTGATTACCGCTTCTTCCATTCAAACATTGGATTATATCTTCTTAAATTTAGCCCGGAATTAATTATTCTTTATCCTCATACCATACGAGCCATAAGTGGGTGTTTGGACACAATGATTGTGAACTTTTGAAAAACAAAATAGTATTTGAAAATTAGAGATGTGTTTGGACATAAATACAATAGATTTATTCTCGATTTTTTGCGACTAATTTGAAGTAAAAATTAAAAAATAGTGTTTTGAATTTTTTTAAATCTTTGAAAATTTTCGAAATTCAACTTCAAGTAAAATTTATAATTTTTATGGTCAAATTCCGGAAAAAATAAAAAATCAAAAAAATATTTTTCTTATAAACAAACGGGCCCTAATTAAACTTCTGTTAGTATTTGTAAATTTAGATATTCAATCATCTTGACATCAAATAAATAAGTTCAGTCACATTAGCTTTCTGTTATGAAATAATAAAAGAAGAAGAAAAGTATTACAGAGAAAAGTAGAGATAGAGAATTCTTATTGATTTAAGATGAATTACATTGGAATAGAACTCTCTATTTATAGGGAGAGGGTGACTTAGCCACCAAGCAATGAACCCTAGGATCTCTCTAAATATAGACATTCACCATAAATACAATTCTATTTATAACACTCCCCCTTGAATGTCTATTCAACAAATAATGTGCCTCGTTAAAACCTTAACTAAAATAAAACCCAGTGGAAAAAAAATTCTAGAGAAGGAAAAAGAGTACACATATCTAACAATACGCCTTTTGGTTGCCTCGTTAAAAACCATGCAAGGAAAACCTAGTGGGACAAAACCTTGTAAGGGAAAAAAGAGTACAACGCGTATTAACTTCCCCTGATGAGAGCATCAACTCACATCCTTGAGAATTTGCATTCCAATCTTGTGCACCATCTTCAAAAGATCTTTAGCAGAGATTTGATGAACAAATCAGCCATATTAACTTGAATGAATATATTGCACCTTGAAATCATCATTCTTGATAGAGATGAATTATGTTCATATGATCTTGTTGGAATCGTCAGTTCAATATCTTCACATAGAGGTAAAAACTCTTGCTATCATATTATCATGCCTATAGTTATAACAAGAAACATTTGTGCACAAATTGCACCGAGGAAGTGGTACTTCAAGATCAAGAATTGTACATGCTTCAAGCAACATAAATCCTTCATGGATTGTCATGTAAGTTAAGTCATATAAGCCATATAGTAGAATTTAGATGCATATCAAGTTTTCATGTCATGCTAGATATATAAGATATCGAAAACTGATTGCACATACCATTGACTTTATACTTTTGAGTGTTTGAACTACATGTCTTTCATATGAAACCAATTCTATTTGAAATTGTTTCTCTAGACTTATGTCACGACCCCAGTTCGCCCTCCGTGAACATGTCGTGATGGCACCTAGTCCCTATGACTAGGTAAGCCTAACAATGTGGAAATAACATAACTTGCGGAAACAATTAATTAAACTAAACAAGGTAGAAGGAAAACTGTATATAAATACCGCTTGGCATATACAACTCAAAAACGCGGAAGTCTACAATATCATCCCAAAACCTGGAAACTCACGGGAACACAAGCTAACGGAAGGTAATGCACTACTCTAACTCCAGAATGTCTAAAACAACAGTACGAAAGGAAAAGCTAACTGCTATAGCTAGAATAAGATAGAGACTCCTGGTCTCCGGACGCGGCAGATGTACCTCGAAGTCTCTGCTAGATCTCTCCGCCTCGAGGATGATACGCCTGGGTAGAGCTACCTGGATCTGCACATGAAAAACATGCGCAGAAAGGGCATGAGTACACCACAGCGGTACTCAGTAAGTGCCAAGCCTAACCTCGGTTGGGTAGTGACGAGGAAGGTTAGGGCCCTACTGAGGTTAAACAATATAATATGAATTAACAGTATGAAAACAGGTAGTAATAATGAGTACGGCAATGGAATAAGACAGGCTAAACAAAGAAATAACAATTACACAAGGAACGGAGTAAACACGGAATATGTACAGCTCAATACCAATGGTAACAATGAGGATCTCCCAGAATACTGTCCTGTAGTCATTTTCCCATCTGTCCAGTGGGTCTCCCGGGATACCGTCCCGTAGTCCATCATATGTATATATCCGAAGGATCTCCCGGGATACCGTCCCGTAGTTCATCTATCAATGTGCAGGGGGATCTATCGGAAATCGAACCCGCAGTCCCAAAGTAAATAGGCAGGGGGGATCTATCGGGAATCGAACCCGCAGTCCCAAAGTAAATAGGCAGGGAGGATCTATCGGGAATCTAACCCGCAGTCCCAAAGTAAATATGCAGGGGGATCTATCAGGAATCTAACCCGCAGTCCCAAAGTAAACAAACAAAAGGGGGGGAGCTACCGGAATCCCACATCCGTAGTCCAATGTAAATACGCAGTCACAACACGAAGAATATTCAGAAATGAAGCTCCAAAAATACAAGGCAACAGGTAGTTCTAGCCTAACATGCTTCATGTAGTGCAAACAAGGCAACTTGAACAAATAGACAATTTAGAACAACTAAGCATGCTTTTCTGGCTAACACAGTCTATAATTGCAAATAAAAATAAAGCAGATAAGAAAGAAACTCAATCTAAATATTTAAAGTAAAACCGGATTTTTCAACAATTAGCTCAAGTGCGCGCTCGTCACCTCACGTACAAGGCATTCAATTACCAAATATCATATCCTAAGGGGAAAGGTCCCCCACACAAGGTTAGACAAGCCACTTACCTCAAACTGGCTCCAAAATCAACTCGAAACCACACTTTTGCCAAGAGTATCCGACTCCAAATGGCCCAAATCTATTCAATTCAATTACATATCGTAAATAACATCTCAAACAACTGATTCTACGATTTAATTCAAAGCTAAGATGCGAAATTAGGTAAAATAACCAAAACGCCCCTCAGGCCAACGTCTCGGAATCGGATAAATTTTACATTTTCAGAACCCTCGTAATCTCTCAAGTCTAACCATACAAAAATCTCTCAAATCGGAGGTCAACACCCATTCAAAATCCAATAACTTGGTCTATGAAGTTTTACCCATTTTTCATTCAAAAATCCGAAATTAAGGAGGAATTCGTGATTAGATTAGTGGGTTTTAAGCATAAGAGAGTAGAGAATCGTTACCCAGTCGTTGCCCTCGAAAAACCTTCAAAATTTCTCCCAAATCCGAGCTCCCAAGCTTGTGTTTTGATAAAAATGGCAAACCCTCAGTTTTGAAATGTTTATAACTGCCCAGGCCCGTTATGCATCGCGAACACGGAAGCAAGGTCGCGTTCGCGAAGAAGAAAAATTGAAGCTGCCAAAAATGCTCTTCGCGATCACGAGAAGCAGAACGCGAACGCGAAGCCCTGGGCTCACTAAGCTACGCGAACGCGACAAGGGTAATGCGAACGCGTTGAGTAAAAATAGACTCAGCCCTCAGAGTCAAATAAAGCTTTGCGAACGCGATGGCCCTGACGCGAACGCGATTGAGGAAAACGTGAAGCTTCGCGAACGCGAAGGACTAAACGCGAACGCGATGAGGAAAAAATGGTCCTCCTCCAGAATTACTCTATGCGAACGCGTGGAGGAGGACGCGAACGCGTAGAAGAAGAAGGTCAGAGCTACGCGAACGCGATAGGAGCGTCGCGAACGCGAAGAAGGAAATGGAACCTGCAACTGCTGTAGGATTTCTACAACTTTTCAAAACTCCAAAATGCTCCGTTGAGCATCCGAAACACACCCGAGGCCCCCCGGGACCTCAACCAAACCTACGGACATATCCCATAACATCATTCAAACTCGTACCAATCCTTAAACCACCTAAAACAACGCCGGAAACCCGATTTAATCAAGGATTTGAGCCTAAGAACTTCAAATTTCATCAAAATACACTTTCGATCAAAAACCTAACCAGAGCACGTCCGAATGACCTGAAATTTTGCAGACACATCCCAAATGACATGACGGAGCTACTACTACTTCCGGAATTCCATTTCGACCCTCGGATCAAAATCTCACTATCGGACCGGAAACTTCAAAAATTCAAACTTCGGCATTTCAAGCCTAAATTAGCTACGAACCTCCAAAACACATTCCGAACATGCTCCCAACCCCAAAATCACCTAACGGAGCTAACGGAACCATCGAATTTCCATTCCGAGGCCGTCTTCACACTGTTCCAACTACGGACAACTTTCCAACACATAAGCTCTCATTTAGGGACTAAGTGTCCCAAAACTCTCCGAAACGCAACACCGAACGTCCCAACAAACCAAAATAGCATAAATGAACTTAGGGGAAACAGTTAATAGGGGATCGGGGCGTTAATTCTTAAGACGACCGGCCGGGTCGTCACAACTTAAGATCCTCATATATATTTAGAACTATCATAGATGTCGTCGACGAATATTTTACATCGGTTCCAACCTCCTTTTCTTATTCATAGAGACATAACATAAAGATCTCTTCATTTATATTTCAGGTACCTGAATCTCTCTTGAGATTTTATAAAGTGTTATGTCATGTGATCTTCTAGATCACTTGACTCCTTTATTATGACCATTTTGATCATTTGCTCATCTTCTTTATCAAGATGTATATTTGAAACTAATTTGTCTATATGCTTTAAGCGTACCATAGACTTTATCCTTCTAGGACTTATTCTAACAGGATCATTTGCAGTGAGAATATAATTACTTTCTTTGGGTCAGCAAGTGTGTCTGGCATGCTTTGCAATATATTGCAGATGAATTATCTTTTTATGAACTTCAAGTTCATATTATCGTATTTGAGGATCTAGATATACAAATGATAATTCACTCCACGTAACTTTTTCTCAACTGTTTATCCTGTCTCTCCATCATGTTAGAAAAACTAACTTGCTTCCTCAACTTTGGAAACCCATCTTTGTGCATTATGGTGTTAATCAAAATATACACCGCATATCACTAATAATAAGATGAAATTATTTGGTTCGTGACCCCGAACCACTTATGAGAGGAAAGTGTAATATACTTTCGTATATAACGTATATCAAATTGATATAGATAACTTTGTTCTCATAAGCAATAGTTTAGCTATTAAGTCAAGGTATTCAATAAATCATTTTGCTAAACCAACTGTGATGTAAACCAACTTATCAAGATGAACTTCTTGAATAAAAAATCTGGAAACTATGCTCTAAATAAAATTATTGAGCAAGTTATCTTGCAAACACCATGTTGCGGGTTAATAATAATCGCACATGTAACCATCTCATAGATGCATCTTATGTGGTACACATGACAGGTGAATGGACCCATATTCACCTTTGATATTTCCAGCATTCATGGGATTCAATCCCAATTTTAGTTGGTCTATTAGTTAATGAGAACAAGCAACATAAGAGAATTTGTAAAGAAATTTCTAGTTCTTTAATATTTATTTCTGTTTTATTTTTGCACATCATACTTAAATTGATATGGCTAAACTAATTATGCCAACTGGATAAATTATCAATATTGATAAACTTCAGGTTTACACCATGATGTTTGCAATTATTAGTAAACTCCAAGTTTGTTATGATATGGGTTTTTTAACTTCTACTTTATTGTGGCATTCTTTTGTTTGTGCAGTACAAACTGGAGAATAAAGCGGGTAATTTTTCACATACATATTACCCCGCTACAAGTTATAGTAATAGAAGATATTAAATCTTTCTTTTATTTATAGTCTCAGTATAACCAACCGCTTTCGCGAATACTTTAGAAACTCAATTAAGTTTCTTTGAGACTTACTACAACATAATGCCTTATTGATAATCAATTTTATTCCTCCAAAATAGTAACAATTGGCTCTTCTAGAGCTCTCAATTAATTTTATAGTACCACATATTCATCAACAGCCATATGGTGAATATCTCTTTTAAAGAGAAATTTATACCATTATGGTTATGATCAAAATTATATGCAAGATCTGTTTCTTGCATTACCGCTGTCTTTTAATAATCACAATGCCAAAATATTTTGGCGTACAATAAGTACATGACCAAAGACCATTTATGCTACAATAATGACATTATTTTCTTATTTCCTCTCAAACCTCATTCTAGAGGTGAGTGTGGTATATTCACTACCACTAGCACATTCATATTCTTCCAAAAATGAATATGTATTCATAAATTACAATATTTTCACATTCACATTATAAATGGACCATAATCATTTATATGTGCTTTACAAAATCTCATGTCAAATCGATGACAAAATATTACTTTCACAAAATGAAGGATTATTTTGAGAATCCTTATTATTCTCATTACCACAATGATGCCGATTATAATTTCGTCAATTGCCATGTCAACATCCATTGTTATCTTCACGGTAATAATTTTGTCTTCTTTCAGACTTATCACATACTGCTATCATATTTTCTTAAGGGAATGAGAATGAAGCAAATTCAATGGGACGAGCTTCCACTTCTTGTGCTCATGATCATACGTGATTTTGATCATGACAGAACATAGAAATTTACCATTTCGAGTGTTTATAATTTCTTACTAACTCCATTAGAGTTATAATCAAAATTTATTATCATTGCTTGTATTTAAAATCAAATTATAGAATAAAAGAGAAAAATACGGTAAAATACATACCTTAAATCCAGAATTTAATCACGAAGAAAGTTCATGGAACAATTGACAATTATTATGCTCAATCCCAAAGCTTCTACTCAATTGGTTAGAGTCTCGTGCTGATAACGTGTTGTGAAACAATAAAAGAAAAAAGAAAAGTATTCCAGAGAAAAGTAGAGATAGAAAATTCTTATTGATTTGGGATAAATTATAATAGAATAGAACCTGTATTCATTTTTTTCATATTAATTATTAAAAGAGGTAACGACCCTACTGGTACTGCTAGAAGAACAAACTGTGACTGCAACTCCCCCCAAACAAAGCCAAAATGGCGAATTCAGTAGTAATTCCCCGTATGTCTCTCATCTTCCTCCGCTCCAAATCCATGTCTTCTCTCACTATAATACCTCACACTATTTTCTCAACCTCAGAAAAGCTCCATCCCCTTATTCTCAAAAACTCCCATTATTCACTTCATTTTTTCTCTACTACTTCAACTCCATATCCACTTCAATACGATATGATAATCTCCCGCCCTGCAAATTCCCCTTCACCAATCCAAAAATCCCGCCCACAACGTTTCCTTCCCAATTCAAAACCTACTGATTCCGAACCCGAACCGGGTTCAGAACTCGGGTTCGACGATTGGGTCGATAGAAAATTGAATTCAAAATCATCTAACGAGGAACCCAATTCGGATAATATTATGAAAATGGATAAAGGGAAAAGGAAATATTATAATAAGAGGAGGAAAAGAATGTTTGGCGGGTCGGATTCGGATTCGGGGGATGAGAATAACCGGGGTAAGGATAATGAGTTTGTTGAGCTGAAGCAGGAAGTAGTGGAGCTACGTACATTCCACAAGAAGGAAGAAGAGTTGTACTTTTATGACAATTTTGCTTACCCTTGGGAAAAAGATAAGCATTATAAGATGGTGTATCAATTGGAGAAAAAGTATTTTCCTGATCAGTGTTTTGATAAAGCTTTTCTTGAACCTGGGCAATCAAATGAGCATGTAAAGAAGAGCAAAAAGAAATTGGGAATTAGGGAAAAGATAATTGAGAAAGATGGTGATGGTGGGGTTGATAAAAATTTGATCTTTTTTGAGGAAGAAGAAAAGGGTAATGTAAAGAATACCAAAAAGAAAACTTCTGATGGCGGGATTGATAAAAGTTTGATCTTTTTTGAGGAAGGAGGAAAGGGTGTGAGGAATAGGGGTGAAAATAAGGAAGAAGGTAAAGTTGATGTATCGGAGAAGAAAGTGGAAGAGTTCTTCAAGTGTTTGAAGAAAGTTCCAAATAAGGAAAATGGTGTTGTTAGTGCTGAGCCGTTTCTAGCTACAAGGAGTACAGGGCTTCCTCCTAAATGGGATAGCCCGGGTGGGACAGTGGTATTAGTGAACAAACCAAAAGGTGAGTTTGAGCTCCTAATTGTCTTAACACTGGGATATATGATGTGCATTTTTTAAACATTGATGTGTTTTTAAAAGAGTTAATATAAAAAATTTAAGTTCTCATGTGAAGTCAATGTTAAGTGTTTTGAGTTTTTAATTGAACAAGAAGCATTAGTTACAAGTTGGATTGACAGACTAGAGATTCTTAATGCAATGCTTGAGAAGTTTGACTTCATTTCCTTGTTTGATTTTTTAAAATTGTAGGTTTACTCTTAGAGAGTCTCAGAGTCAGAGATAAGTAAAACTTGTTTGGGAGTGTGATATGTACATTACGAATTCAGCCAGTGTATGGTTATAGATGAAAACTGCCCAAGAGTCTTATTTTCTGTAGTTTGTACATCACAAAGCTCACGAAAAGGACTTCTACATTGAGTATCGAATGCCATAAATATAATTTACGAGTCAGGATTGTCTCTTATGATCTAATATCATAAAGCCAAACCAAAGTTAGGAGGCTCTTGCATTTTGGGAAATGTAGTTATAAAAGCTTGGTTTTCTTCTTCTTCTTCTTAGTGACTATTAGTCTGAATTGCCTTACAGGTTGGACTTCTTTCACTGTTTGTGGAAAGTTGCGGCGTCTAACAAAAGTGAAAAAGGTACATCATTCCTAACCATAATCTAGGGGCTATTTGATATGGTCTCAGAGAAGCAGTATGCGAACTCGTTTTAAGAATATTTTCAAGATAAATTTTTCTGGTGATCTTTTGTATTTGAAGGTGCATTATCATGTTAGTCTTAGGAACAAGAACGAAAATTAGAAAAACTTTTGGATGAGTGTTTTCACTTTAAAATACTTGATTATGTAGTTTGGTTATATCCATGCTGATTAATAGCACTCTTTCTCCCATTAAAAAAAGAGCTTGAATATGGTTCTGATTTCTGTCTGAAGATTTACTATTTTGATTTTCTTTAACATATCTATTCCTAATGTAAGATACTATGAAATCTTAGATTTTTAAACAAGTATCAATTCCCCTCATCAAGTTTTATGTATTCTTTTTGGTGTTGGACGCTCCATTAGATCGATTCTCCTAAGGTAGAAGACTCTGTCCAGCAAAATCAGAGCTGTGGCTGAAGAACATGTTGGGGCGAGGAAAAAAAGAGTACTTAGCAAAATTTGAGAGAATTAGTGTACATCTTTGAGCATTTTGTTATCTCCTTCCTCCAATGTTCATTTTAAATTGAAGACCTTGTAACAAACTTCTGTTTCTACAAAAGAATTGCCCCACTCTATTTTTTTTTCGGGAGGGGGGGGGGGGGGGGGTTGTTCTTATCTTTGTATTTGGTTAATGGGGGTTTGATGCTTATATTATTATCACGTGATTGGAAACAGTCACCACATTCAGACTGAATACAAACTGAACTAAGGCATTTTTATTCCATTTTATTACCACCTTCTCCTTCAAATTCATCTTTTGCAGGTGGGCCATGCTGGAACACTTGATCCAATGGCAACTGGCTTATTGATTGTATGTGTTGGTAAAGCTACAAAGATCGTTGACAGGTAACTTGCAATAAGGTTTTAGTTGAATTAGTTTGAGAGAGATCTCAGGGATTCCTGAAATTTTATGAGAGTTTCTTATTCCTGCTAATATTTTCCCCTTTGTCTTAGGAGAACTTGTACAAGTCTATAAACAGTGTCTTTTAGTCTCTCGATACAGTTCTATGATGAATTTTCTTGAAGTCTGAATTGTTCTTGGCAGTTATCAGGGTATGATGAAGGGCTACAGTGGAATCTTCCGTCTGGGGGAAGCCACCTCTACCTGGGATGCAGATTCCCTGGTATTTATTATTTTATTTATTTTTGAAGTTATAAATCTTCAGATAAAACTGGACCATGTGACTTATTTCACCCCTACGAAAGTCTCATCTAACAAATTAAGATGGCAAGATGAGAAGTTTCATGATAAAGTCAACATGAATAAAGTCTACATGCACGTTCTAATTGATGTTACACAAACTGGATCTAGTTATTTGTTTGCCCCAGGATTATCTTACTTATGTAAGTTTGGATTTTGTAATATCCAGGTTATTCAGCGAGAGCCGTGGGAGCATATCAAGGATGAGGACATAAAGAAAACAGCAGCGTCCTTTTATGGAGAGATATGGCAAGTCCCTCCGATGTTCTCAGCAATCAAAGTATGTTAATTTTAGTTGCAACACCTAAGTTCCTCCAATTATTGATTCTGCCGAATATAAATTTATCCTGTGCATATTTTGATTTTTATAACGATTATTACAACATTTTCTTACCCTGGATGAATAAAATTATTGATACCAGATTTACACTTTCTTAAACAATTTTTTCTTAGTACTTTCAACATGCTTAATTTTGTTCTGAGTCATGAAATTTAGCAATCTCATGAAACTAAAACATGTTGAATCAACTCCAGCTATATCTTCAGTCAATGTAATGGCCTAGTTGCTGCTGATACTATTTGTATTTAACATAAGCTTAAATCAAAGAGCGTGCTGATTCAGAAAAGATAGCTGTTACTTCTTAGTCTGTAATTGTTTGAGTTGTTATTTTCTCTTTCCTTTAATTAGTTCATCCAATTTTTGCCAGCTTCATCAGAATTTCTCTCGGGTGACCAAGCATGACTTAGATTTAGTATTGCGTTATTACTTATTAGACTCCGTCTACTTGTGATAGGTTGGTGGTGAAAAGATGTATGAGAAAGCAAGAAGAGGGGAAAGCATCGAACTTTCACCGAGGAGGATTTCAATTTTCGAATTTGATGTGAAGCAGAGTTTAGATGACAGGTTATTTTGTTGAACTCTTCTAGTGCTAATCTTGTGCCACATGGATGTCTCAACTCTTGAAAAATCATCTCTATGTGAGTATTGTCTGTGCGTACAAGTTAAAACCCTAGCCAAGGTTCTCTCAAAGTGTCTAAATATTCTTAGGGTGCTCCCAAAGTGTCTTACGATCTCTATACTGCATTGAATTCTTTAGTGCTAAATGTACACTCAGTTTTGTTTGAGGGTGAGGTGGAGAACTCATTCTGATTGAAAGCAAGTAATATATTTCTCACAGAGTGCTTTATTGGAGTTGCACAAGCTTCCTCCCGGCCCTCCCTTTTGCGGATTTATTTATTAAGTACTTCAAAAGTTTTATTAGAACCATAAAAGGTAGCATCTTCTTGATTTGCATCCCCTTGATTCTGAAGCATGTCTATATTTCAGGTATGCTTTCATGTGAAGCATGCCTATGTTCCAGCCAATTACTCCTAGAGGAAAATGAGTAATTCTTGAAGTATGTCTATATTTCAGACATGTTTTTTTCCAGATATGCTTTCATGTGAAGCAGAATTAGAATATTTGGGACAGATATACTTATAATTTACATGCATTTCATGAGCATGTATTTTGGTTGCTAATGGTTGTCACTCCACTAACCTGGTTTATTACTTCACCAAAAGTTTCATATTGAAGATGCTTCTTTTTTTCTCTTGTTTTCTTTTTTCCCTTTTTTGAATTGGCAGACAGAATGTGATTTTCCGAGTTAGATGCTCAAAAGGTACCTATGTCCGATCACTATGTGCAGACTTCGGGAAAGCTCTTGGCAGGTACCATATAAAGATAATATTCGTTTTAATATTAAAAAAGCTTCTACATTTTGTGATAGATGATGAGAAATAACAAATGTTCAGTGATGCGTAATTTTTTTAATTCTTAATGTTCTTCTAAGTGGATTCAAACCCAAACTGAAATTTTTACTTGCAGTTGTGCTCACTTGACAGCTCTAAGACGAGATTCAATTGGTAAGACACAGTTATTTTAAGTTCAGTTTTTACTGAAAGTTGCTGAAAGTCTTGGGTTGTCTTGTTTTATATCTGAAAATAGTTGTGAAAAAGGTTTCCCTTTATCTAGAACATCAAGAGATAAGAGAGGTCTTTGTTGAATTTTTGATTGCTGTGAGCAGCTTGTGGTCAGGGTTTGTGACAATGCTATTGTAGTATTAGAGAGTGTTGCCTGAATCTTGCACCTAATAGCACGACAGAGAACACCGTATATGCCTTTTACCTGAAGCTAGGTCTTGAATTCCACAAGTCGAACCCAATACTGCTTCCTGCAAGTAGTTGTCAGTACTTAGCTAATTGTGCTCTCTTTACCTCACAGGAGAGTACTCAGCAGATGATGCTTGGGAATTTCAAGAGTTGGAAGAGGCAATCACCAAAGGATATTTGTAAGATTCTTGGAAATCCCAGTGGGCAGAGTTACCCAATACCTGTGCTGTGCAAGACTGGAAGGTAACAGGTACCGGTAGATAGTTGAGGTGCGCGCAAGCAGCCCGGACACCACCGTTGTAAAGAAAAAAAAATTATTCTTGGAGATTCCACATTTGTTGGTGCCAATTGGAGATCTTACCAGCTACCTTAACCTCAACAAAGGATTTCACTTTTTCCTCCACTTCACCTCTTTCCTTGCTTTTTCCTACTTTCCCTTAGTTTCTGGGCAGAAGTGTCTTAAGTTATATCCTTTATAAGTTGAAGATAAGGGTGAATGTAATAGCTCTTTGTAACCATTTCTGGTATTAATTGCACTTATTTTTTTGTTACAACCTTTAGTATGCACCTCTTTAAGTGTAAGTGCTACAAAAAGGGGATCATTCTTTATGGCATTACAAATGAAAAAAGTCTACTGCATTATAGAGTTTGAGATTTTATCCTATGCGCCAATGCACGAAGCATTTTCACTGGCATTTTCAGCACCAATAATAATGAAGCTGGGAGGAAGGCAGTCCCTGTGGATAACGGAACATTTGCAACAAGATCAATTAACAAAAACTTCAATACGGTACTAGCATTTCAAATATTAAAGTTCACTACTCTCAAATATCGATGGCCAAATTTCAACTTGTAAATAAACTTTAGTATGACCATTCACTGATGATATCCTTGACACTATCTTCAAGATGTTGACATGACCGTATGAACAAGTACCTATACAGGAGTTGAGACTTTGAACTCAAACAAGCATGAAACACAAATCAGGAGGCTAACACAACGATGAATTATATTACTAATAACAAAAAACAAGGAGAATACAGAAGTTTCTTTCTACCCACTTGGAACTCTAAACCATCATTAGATATTTGCACACAAAAACAAGGTTTGACGTCCTACACACATTCTAAATCTTGTCAATGACCCACCTAAGTAGTTGTAGAATTAGGGGGATCAATCCCCATTGCCTTATAATAGGCCATCTCTGCATTAGCCATGCGATCCTGAAACATTGTCCATTCTCTTCTACACCTTTCTCTTACCTGAACCAAAATAAATGTTGGACTTAGACATATAATCAGAGATCAACATACTCCTTTTGTAACAAGATTACACAAACACTTGCAGAATCATGCATGATTGGGAAGTATGGGTTTGAGTTAACATACATTGACACATGTTTTGTGATATATGATGAAAAGAACAAGCATCTCAAATTTCATCTATGGACACAAACATTCGAACGTGGTTTGACATATTCATATGCAAATTCAAAAGGAGATCAAATTGTTATTAGTTTTTTTATTCATATTTTCCTTAATCATCGGTTTTTCATGGTCAAATTTCAGTATACAGGAGAATGAAATACGGCACATACCCCTTCCCATGGTGCCTTGCCATTCTCTGATTTACCCTGTCGAAATAAAATAGAAAATAATCATTACAGCCAACTTTTATGCTAGTCTAATATACTCCAACAAGATAAAGTTGGATATACCTGGCTCCCAAGTGATGGAACAGTTTGATGCACAATCCACTGAGCATCTACAACTCCTATCTTTTCATGTGCCGGCTGCTCATCCAAAAGCATTATTAGGAAGAAGACCATTTGAAACAGAACATATGGGAATCTGTCCCGCACATCTTAAAGTATACTACTAACCTCCACACATCTCCTAAGAGCAAAATCAAGACCCCACCCATGGACCAAGTCATTCTGCAATAAAGAATCAAGAATTCAGATGTGCAGTAACCAAATGGGTAGCAATCCTCCTCCCCCCTTCGCCCGCATATTCTTTTTCGTTGGCTGCAATGAATGGAAAGATTTTTAATAATTGAAACCTGGATCATATGCCAAACACACCGCCAGGCCTCTCGAGAGAAAACAGGTGCCATGATCTCGATAAATCTGATTGCCAACGAAATAACAGTTAATATTGACACCAAACACAAAGTGGCATCAGTAGTTATTGGTAAATATCATGCATTCCATACGCTGCACAAGGTGGCAAATGTGGATCAGCGCACCAGCCTGGTCTTTCTTCTGTTTCCCTGTAAGCAGAAGCAATAAACTGTATATGAGATCAAGCTATGTGTGCATGGGATGCTGTAATCAGAGCCGTTGTAGGTATAATGCAAGTACTATGTTCCCTACTTGTGAATTTCAGTGTCATTTCGCCCTTTTGTCATTTGCCACGTCAACCCACTGTTTGGTGCTAAACCAGGCTGGGAAATATCCAAACCATGTTTTGCCACCAACTTTATATATCTGCAGTTGCATTGGAGCCTTAAGAGTCCACAGACAATTCAACATATTGATACAAACGACTCTGAGAATAATCATAACTTACTCCTCCGCGTTAAAATTCTCAAGACCCAAGTCTTCATCCCAGATGAATATATAGTCATAAGGTGCTACAATGTCAGGATGCAGAAAACGTTTTGCATACCACCTTTCAACAAAATGAATAAACTTTATACTTACCACAAATCCATCAAAGATATTGAACAATTGAGGATAAAAAAGAATTCACAATAATAGTTACCATTTAGTTTGTTTCGGTGTACTGACATGGATAGCCCGCTTTGACCACTCAAGGTCAGCCCATTCACTTGTTTGACCATCATAGTGAAACAGCATAATAGTAAAGTTCTCTGAAAACTGTTTACAATACAGAAAAATAAGCATGCCGAGATACATAAGTAAAATTTTGGACTTAAATCTTCCTAAGTTGGCAGCAAACCAACCCTTTTGTTAAGCTACGTTTTCTTTCTATCTTTTCGCTCATCTCTGGTAACCCTAATTTGTAATGAGATTAAAAGTGGGATTGACGATAAGATTGATTTTTGTCGGGAAAAAAGTAATTATTCACTGATGTGTTAAATGATTTGCAGAGCTTCACCAATAAACTTGCATGCATGCAACACAGACAAAGGAAAACATTATACATAAGAACAGCGAGGATAGCACATAAAACAAGACAAGACTAGGCTGGAAAAAAAAAAAGGGGGGGGGGGGGAGGGGGGGGAAGAAGACAAACAACTAAACCAAAATGAAGACAAACATGACAATAAACTTGTTTAGAGTAGTTGGG